CAGCAGTGATCTAAATTGGTACTCGTTTAAACCTGCTCGAAGTTCAATAAAAACTTATATATACTTCGAGTGTACCTTTCTCTCACAGAAACGTAGTGTTAGAATTATTTTAAATTAGGTTCTTTCTACGTAGGACCTCATGCAAAAGCTGCGAATAATCGCCGAACGGTGGTGTGGAGGACAACCGTAATTTTCAAATAACTAAGATTATCTAGCGGGCTGGTTCGTTGTACATACTGATATATTAAAGCACAAACAACGAAAAAGGAAAGACGAGTAAGGCAGGAAAAAGCGCCCGTTCTGTGCGCCTTGTATATTCTTGCTCGTCATTTTTCGCTTTAATATCTCAATTTATACTTAGATAGTTTGTTTGAAGCGGCTGCAGTTGAGGATGATAGCTCTAATTGGTCATGTAGAAAGGCCACGTTTGCGCGCAAATATTTGTCTTCATTCAACACGTTTTCTTGTGTTCGTCACGAATGTATTTCAATCGAATATTTGGTTATGCTGAGTGTTATAAATTGAGATGATTCCTGACACATCCGGCGGAAACATCAGATCCTGCACGTAGCAAGCTTATTTAAGTTGTGCATTTCGAATTGTGAGGGTTCAATGCGTAGCTTCTTTACTTAAAAACCAAGAAACTAAGCCACTTATTCTTATTTTTAACTGCGGACGCCGAGTGAGATGTCCCAGTTTACCGATGTGTGTGCTGATGGCACCATCTATCGACAGAAAAAGGGAGAATTCGTCGGAGTCTTCTTACATCTGAAATCCGTCAACTGATTCTTACTTCTATAGGAAGATCGCGCAATCAGCGCAACTCTCGTGACCTCTGTCGTCTGCGACGGCCTCCGCCACTGTCAACTTTAGGACAGTGGGACCATTTTTTTAAATACACCTTAATTTTTCGCTGCATCAAATGCCACACTCAAAAATCGTTTTGGGAAAGATTTGAGCTTCTCACATCCAGGACGGTTTTTTCATGGATCGTCTTAAAAAAGGTATCGTGTTTATATCGCCCAGTAGGCGCAGAGTAAATAGACGGCTCTGGCTACGGCGCCGCATTTATTGTGACCACAAACTTGCTTCTCACCAAAATATTTCTATCAATAATTTTTTCTACTCTGTTTTCAGGCGCCATTTGTACTTATACAAACAATTCATTCCTTTCGACCGGCCATGGTTTTCATTTCTTCAGTTTTCGCATAAATTATTTACTTACAAATATCTCTCCTCAAACGGTCGCTCTAAATATTCGGAAGGAAACCGAAGGGCTGCAAATGGAATTCGAGGATTGTTATTTTCTTTCCTGTACACAATAGGAGACGTGGTGCGTTCAAATATTGGACATCGTATTTTACAATCAAATAAAATGGTATCTACATAACAAAAAAAGCGAAAAATATGCAGGCGAGTTGGTAAGGAAATATATTCTGAAATATGGATATACTGAGAAATAAATGAACGAATGAAAGAATGGAAAATGTCACTGCTAGAAATGATTTTGTATTGTGGATGGTTTTTTTATGTATATATATTTCCGGTTTAGAATATAATATATCTGCGTTCCTGAAATGAAACCAGATGTAGATGTAAATTTTTGTACTAATGTGTATTCTGTAGGTTAATTGGTATGAAAAGCAGAATTGAAATAAAGCAAAGTAACAGCTATCCAGGAGAGTAACATCATTGACCATGCTGAAAAAATTTTCACAAGTGTGTATCAAACATTTTGAAGATATTATCTTCGCTTTATTAAATGATATTCTCATTATTTCGTTTAGCTAGCTCATTTCAATAGATCAGTTTAGCCCGACCTAATATAAGTCATTGCTTTCACTGGATTTTAGAGAGGAACACTGGCATATTTAATAGCACATTCAGGGTGTGTAGAGCCTGACAAGCCGTAAATAAAAAAAAATCTTTGAGAGCTTTACGTCTGAAAATATTTACGCATGATTCATGCATTTGCTCAGACAACGTGATCAATGTATGTCACGCTGCTGCTATAGCGTGACTGCAATTCACTCTCCATCCGCTGTCAATCAGGCGACGTACGCATCTTTTAGATGGTATGTTCATCGCTCTCGTGCATTTTAGTTTTCATATCTCGGGCATGGCACACCTAAAAATTGTCGCGCGTTAAGAAGAAGAATTTAATTGCCATTTAAGAACAGTTAATGCAGATTTTTACTGGAATCTACACAACTCCAAGTGGAATGCGGCTGAGAAGATCACTATTTAAACAGTTATTTTATACATCGATGTTAATATTTCACTCATCTTGAATTTGTGAATTGACGTTATTCTAAATGAATAAAATGTTTATTTTAACTGCCACTCATTTCTTATGATTTATTTCGAGATTAAAAACAAAAAGCTCTCTTATGCTAGAGGAGAAATTTACAGTATCCCAATAATAACCGTCCGCAAGTGGGAATGATTTCAATATGCGACTTATCTAAAAGACCTAGGCAAAAAATTGTATTAAAGAAAAATTTTAATACGCATCACATAGTTGCAAAAGCTCATAAATCTTTCCCGTGGCACCATCGACGTTTCTTCGCGTTCAAATAATCAAAAAGAAGAAACAAACAATTCGCCTGTAAATGTTGTTTAACAAAACAGACGAACACGTGTGAGTTGTTTTGCAAATGCATTTGAGGATTCCAGCGGGTACGACTGGTTTACACATTCAAGAAATAGAAAATGTGGCGCTTTTCTGAAACGTTAGGTCTGGCAATGACACAGATAAATCTAAAAGAATATGAAGAAGAGCCTCGAGGGGCATTAATGGGTCCAAATTGATCACCCTTGTTTCAGTCGATTAAAATGTATGTGTTTTTTTTTTGTTAGTAATATCGTATTTTATAGAAAGTCGCGTATTGTGCATTTTCTTCTATAGGCACTAAATATATAACGTAATTCTTCCCGTGCATCGATCAGGTTTTCTCTAGATTGATAATTCGCGTGAAGCACGGAGTTCCCGACGATTCCTTTGATCATGTTGCCTGAAGCTATTTAAACCACAGATGGGCCGTCGAGTATATTGCCCATTCCCGACAAGACAAAAACAAATAAACTTTTTTGCGGTTTGAATTTGAACGAGTTGTGAGTTAGGGCTTGTCTGTCTTCCATGTTCTTTTCCTGTCCCTGCCCTGGCCTTTTAGTACGCAATTGTTTTCATTATGCCCAACCAGCGCCAACTCGCCCAGCTTACTACCTTGCTAGAGTTTTTCAAGGTCTGCCTTCTCTGGGAAGCACTTTAAGTGGCAGACATATACACGAATAAACAGTGTCGTAGAATTCTGGTATCGTTGAAGAATGTTAAATAATAATCTTCAGCTGTGCGCATTGGTAATCCACGAAACTCGGTTTTTCACATGCTTCATGCGACGCAATGTTTGTTTTGTAAAACAATGGGATTTCCATTAATTGTTCTAAGTTCATACTTTCTTGTTTTCTTTTTACATCACAGCATACGCATTTTTATTCATACAAAAGGTAACTTGGAAAGCACTCACCATACGCGCAAACACTGCAAATTCAAGTCGTAATATTTTAGCAAAAACTGTGCGCGCTTGCTTAAAAAGAGAGTAGATGTACAAGTCCGCAGTTAAACCCCTGACATATTTACGACTCCTTGAAAAGATAGCCAAATCATGACTCCTTATGTAAGTGCTTCAAAGCTAATGATTTGTACTTGTCCAATAATTTCTAACCACATGTGTGCTTTAAAGTTCCATAACTGGTTGCCACGAGGGCACAGATGAATTCAAGCAAGACAAATTCTTGCGTATTCAGTCATCTTTTCGACGCGTCGTGTGGTACGCCGGACGTTTCGTAGTGCACCTTTCTCGTCTTTTGAAAGTGAATATAGAAAAGTAAAGTATTTGCGAAAAATAGAGTTAGTATGGATGCAATTAGAATCGTGATATCCATCAGTCTATCCCCTGTCGGAATCGGCCCTATAACCCTTAAACTTAAAAAGAAGGCGAAATCCTCATCAGCACACGAACTTAGAACAGTAGACGAAAACTACAGGACAACGGCTGACTCGTAAGTGAGGTTCAGTCTACAAAAAGTAAACAAAGACAACCTCTTAAACAGATCACACACACAACATATTAAAATGCACTCCTACCAGGGGAATAGGGGGTGCAGAGATTTCTGTCTTTCCAATCGACACTCATGATTGATTTAAGGTACGTTATTTGTAAGGCGAAATCCATGCGGACTCTAGTTACCTGGTAGGCGTGCACTTTACTCTGTGTGTGTGTGTGTAATCTGTTTAAGAAGTTTTTTTTTTTTCTTTTCATAGAATACACTTCAGTTGAGAGTCAGCCGTTGTGATGTCATGTTCGTTATTTTGTTCTTCGTCAGACTTTGATGACGCTGTTTTTTCATCACGTATAACTGTTACCAAGTGGCCCAATTTAAGTCTATACTTTTAGAGATTACATTGACACTGGCGTCATTCAAGATCTTGGAGATCTGATGCTATGTGTAGTGGCTTTGCTTATTTATTTGGTGCGTTCGTGCTACCGCTTTTAAAAGGTTATTTAGGTAGTCATATTTTATTTGTTCTGATAACGTTTTTTTGTGTGTTTTATGTACACATCCGCTGATTGATATTGTTTCCTGTATTGTGTATCAATATATACATGCTTACATTTTAGTTTACTTATTTTTGTTTAAATTTAAATATATGGCACTGTGTCGTTTTTAATTATTGAACAATGACCAATTTTCTATCTTCGCATTTAACTTCCATGTTAACCTTTAAAAAATTCCTATAGAAAGTATTTATTCGAGAGAAGACAAAAGCTAATGTCATATACAGTATCTCATGTGATAATAAGCGATTCTTCCCCAAAAAAAGACTACCACACGTAAAAAAGGTTGTGAGCAGCAGCAGAGCCTCCTGCTGCTCACATTTTTTTACGTCGTATACGATACAAATATGGAAAAACGAACGAGTCGCACGAGCAACTCACTTGGCAGCCTGCTGAGCTTGAGCTGGCAGGGCTCAGAGTGTCCGACGGCGTTGCTGGCCACGCAGGAGTAGGCCCCGAACGAGTCCGGGTTCCGGTCGGGCAGTACGAGAGTGCTCCGCGGTCCGTGGTCCTCTTGCACGGTGCGGTTATTGCGGAGCCAGGCAAACTGGGACACCGCCGGCACTGCCTGGGCCTCGCACGTCAGCACGATGTGGCCCGAGGCGTCGTGCTCTTTGACAATCACGCAGTGCGGCCGGTCTGCGCACGTGGAATCCCCGAGTGTTAGCATATATAGCGGATTGAACAACATGCAAGTGGAGGATCCTTGCTTTTGTAATAAGTGCAAGGCCATCATAATTTACAAAAAAAAATCTACAAAAAAAAACAATACTTCTGAGGACACTTAAGCATCTCTTATGAGTTGTGAATGCGAAACCATGAATGTCGTTCTTTCGCTTTCTTCATTTGTCCTCGATATATTGGCGTCACGGCCACGTTTCGCTACTGCCGAGTTGGCGGCCTGCGGCTTTGCGCGAGCTCTCGTAAAGCGGCCGCAGCCCGGCCCCACCATCCCTGCTCCTGCAACGCATGCCGCGAGACCGGCGGCGGATCGCGCGCTCTCCTAATCCGGCCGCAGCCCCCCCCCCCCCCCCCCCCCCCCCCCTTCCGGCCACGCCTGACATGAGAGCGGCGGCCAATCACACGCGCTCTCTCCAAGCAACCACCAATGGCTATCTAGGAGCCCTTTTGCTCAGCCACTAAACAATTTGCGTTTCGTTCGCGTTTTTTTTTTTTTTTTTTTTTTTTTTGCGGTTACAGACGCCGTTGGCTCCGCTCTATTTGACAGGTAACGCTTTGGATTAAAAACGTTTGTGAGCTCACTTTTTGTGGAGAACGGAGAACACCGAGACAGAAAATCACGGCGAACAGCAAAAGGGTCCAACGAATGTTCAAGCTCATAATACAATTATACCCCAAAATGCAATCTGCGTATGCAAAACGAGCATTACTATAAACTTGCTAATTATACCAGTGCCTATTGATTTTTATCAGGACTAATCGTATCTTTGCTAGGATCCTTTTATTGTGCAGTGTGATTGGGTGTCCTCTTATTCTGCAGAAAAGTAACTTACAAACGTTGTAGAGTGAACACTTCTTTGCTAGAATATTAATGGTCGCGAGAGGTGCCTGGCAAGCAACGTGAAAAAATTAGACAGGAAAATTATTTAATGGATGGGTCGATGTTAAGAGTCTTGCATAAAAAAACAATTACGGCATTTTAATAATTGCGAAATGGCTAATAGAATGTTCCGGTATATTCTGCCATATATAAAGCTCTACTAAGGGCAAACAAAAATCGGTGTTTTATAATTTGAAAGAAAAAAGAAAATGGCAACTGCAATAACTGTAGATAATTCCTTAAGCCAAACTCCGACAACTTCTGAAGATATGACCTCACCCTTTTAGAAACACAAAAATAAACAAAAACATAAAAATCCTTACCGCGTAACATTTTGGTTTATTTTGTAATTCACTTTATTCCTGCGCTTTCAATGAATTTGCGCGAGAGTTCCTTGCAAGTCTCAGTTCCCATTTTGTCTTCTCTTATAGGCATTGACGCCTTTTGATAAATATCCGGAGTCAGTTAGTCTATAAATGTACCAAAACTCCACTCCCGTTTTGTAAAAGAAAACTGTTTGAAGGAGGTAATATGGATAATCAGAATTATTACAAATATGCATTTTCTTGATTTAAATATTTACTGAAGTACTGATGACTCTCTAAGCATATACTACTCCTTCCAAATTAAAAAATAAAATATTTTTTGCTGTATTTGTTTAAAAACACGTAACCTATATAAGTAAGATGTCATTTCTCTTATAAAACACCACAACATATCCCAAATCTGTACTCTACCACGATAGCGAAAATCATGATCCTCCTCAAACCCAGACCTAAACCCAATCCCAGGAAAATCTTCTGCCAGAAATGAAGCGCTCCTCTGGCGAGCCTTGTAAATGCGGGTCTGCCAAAAAATCCCTCCTCATTAGGAAAAAAACCATCCCTAGCCGAAAACGCGGAGGGCTTCGGTCAAGAAACCCGACGGGCTATCTAAACACATATCTCGCCAAGCCCTTCCCAAAATGCATTTGCAGGTCACCGCTCCCTCACTTCCCTTTGCCCCCTTCTCTGCCACACCAATCCTGCCGACGACGAAGTCTAACTGACCGCAGCGCGTCAGATACATTCGTCTCGGCTCAGGCCGAGCGCAGTCCACGCAATCATGGTGGCCGCGAGGTGGCACGTGCCTTTCGCATTGAGGTGGACCGAAGCGGAAGATAAACACCGGTTGTGCCACTCATCACTCAAAGACGTGATGCGCCACGGCACTTTTTCCAATTGGGTAGCCAATCAACTTCAATCTTCCAAACCGCCACGACGAAATCAGCAAGTCGGCTGACGCAATCGAGCATCCGGGACTGAGCCGTGACTCTTAAGCCTTTGCGAATATGCAAACGCGTTCTGGCTTCCATTGCGGTCCAGCTTTAGTCGCGAAGGAGTGCGATGTGGCTCATTTTCTTGCGGCGCGGCGCGGGGACTCTATTCCGAGGAAGCCGGCGTCCACGGAAATTAGGAACGGTCGGCGCCACTCCGGGCGGCTTCCGGGGTACTGACTGGCGGGACGCCGTGCAGAGTTATGGCCGCGCTGGTCGAGGCGCGAGGGAGGGCGTCGTCCGACGAAGGTGCATCTTGAACGCACCTGTAATGGTGGCGAGCGGCTAGCCTCATTACCAAACCATTAGCGAAGCCGAGCGAGGCCTTCGGGTCGTGATAAGGTGCCCGAGGAGGAGAGCTCGAGGACTTGGCGAAGGAATCGATGGGAGCTCCGCTGCATGCGCGACGCCCTTCTCCCATGTAACCTTGGCTCGAGAGGACCCTTGGTCAGCGTCGTGAAGAGGTTTTCAGAGGCACTCGGCGATAGGGACATTAAAATGCTGAGGTAACGGCACACTTTTCGTAAGACGGAGTGGTTAAAGCCTGTTCCCAATATCCCGTTGCCATCGAGTGTCGTTCCAGAAAGCAATAGAAAATAGCACCGGGGAACCCTCTACGTCTCGACTCTTCTTCAAAGTCGTTTTTATTTGTTGTGATAATCATTTTATTTCTCGTTTTGCTGGCGCTCTCGCGATAAAATAAGTACACAAAGCTCTTCCCTCGGGCTTGATCCCAACTTTAAGGTGCGCACAAGTTTGCAGACAGAATAGGGAAGGTGAGAGTACAGTAGTGTGCGATATGAAGGTGAACGCCGAGCCGTCGACCGCTCCGTGCTATCAGCGCCATGAAGCGGCTGCCGTGGCAGCCACGTCTAGGCGCTGATAGCACGGAGCGGTGGACGGTCCGGCGTTCACCTACATATCGCGATAAGAAAGCAAGGCGTCACGGCAGCCGCCTCATCGCGCTGATAGCACGGAGCGATCGATGGTTCGGCGTTCATCATCATATTGCCGGCGGGTGTACGTGCAGGTCGCTCTCAAAATTTTAATTGTTCTCGGAGTTTTCTTTGAAGACTGTTCCGAAAATTGTAGATGCATGGGCATAAACACAGAATCCTCAATGTCAGCATACTTTAAAATCAGGTGAAATCAACGGTCCTGATGAATCGATAGAAGCAACCGAGTGTATACCCAAATAAATGCGATAGCGCGAGCACAGTGTGACAATACAATTTGCCACGTGCCTCGCGCCTAAGCTTTGATTGGCTTGCCATGGTCGTAGAATATTCTTTTGGTCACGTTATGCTGAAACAGTGTATTAAAAGGCGTTATTTTAGAAGAAGTACACAACCGCCAAAGCATTGTAGCCTGAGCCTTAAGAATGTATACGCCTATCTGAATTTGAGCAGTCTTGAGAAGAAAAATGTGTGAAATTTAAAAATATACTCCCTCGTGCTTCCGCATGATTTTAGTTTACAAAGTAACAAGACTCAATGTATTTATCCTGATAAATATAAAAAATGAAGACTGCGTCTTAGTGTAGAGTGATTTTGCTGATCTAGCAGTATGTGGCATATGTATATCCGTGTCGCGTTTTGGGTATTGACGCACTTAGCTGGCAGCTACCTCAAAGCCGCATCTTCATGAACATTCAAGAGTTGAATCCAAATCACTTTTCACAACCACGTGTTTTATGCGCTCTAAAGTGAAAAGTACTCGTCATACATGTACAAAAATATTTTGGCAAAAGGTATTAAAATAACGATGGTACGTTTTTAAGCATTTTTCTTATTTTTTTTCAAAGCAGGGTAAACAGCCCAGATTACATCATGGACGCACGTATGAGAAAACTTCTACCCTAAACAGAGAAAATAAAGCGCTTTATTTAAATACATATTTTAATCAAGTTATATCTCCTACGTGTTCCAAAAAGCGAAAAACGACACCAACAACTGTCCCCAAAATACGAGCACTCGCCGAGCGAGTCAAGACAGCGTGTTTCAATTACGGCACCGTAATCCCGCATTTCCGCCATCTCCCGCCGAATGCCACCAAAGGGTTTGCTTCGTTGCTCAGTAGGCCGCGGATTCTAATCCGGGTCAGTGTAAACTTCCAGGGCAATCTTGCCACCGCTCGGTGCTGCCACTTCCACTGCACACACGCGTACGAAACTGGGGACGCCTTGGAAGAAAATTCAGCGGACGAGAACGAGAGAGAAAGTGAGACACAGACAAAAAGATAGAAGGCTCGATGTGGCCCACGGACATAAATAACATGAAATGTAAACAAACTCAATCTGCGTCACAAAAACGTTTCGGTAAATTTTTTTTTGTGCAATGTTTGAATACATTTTTTTTTTTGGCGCGAACTTAGAGAACCCGCATCACATCCGATCCAAAGGGACACACTCAAGCTGAGAATAACATCAACGCCGGGCTTCAAGCATATTCGCCACCAGAAGCGGGGGAAATATATTTTCGAATCATATTTTTTTTTTCTTCCTCGCTAGATTGCTAGCTCTTCCGTGTAGACGGCGAATATGCACGATAACATAAAATGCATTTATTCTGTCCTTTTTTTTTTTTTTGTTAACAAAGGAAACTTAGATAGCCAAAATAAGAACTTCAGGAATCGGGAGCGTATAACGGAGCAGTAGACAAAAAAAAAAAAGAAGTGTACTGGAGAGAAAAATAGTTGGGACCCCACAGAATGGGAACGTCGCACCGCAGAGACAGCAGCCCTGCGTTGGCGAGCGGGCACGGA